AGTGTATGTATCATAAAGTTTTTTTATTTTTTTTAAATTTTAACGTGTCTGGTGGAAAACCAATAGTGTTAATGTAATACTTGCCTAAGAATGAACACTGTAGAAAACTAAGATGAAGCAATTTTATTTTGCTTTGCTCGATCCATAAGTTACTCACTGACAAAGACACTGATAAGACATTAAAAAATAATACAGCCTAAAAGATAATATCAAATCTTCATCGCCGTAGGTCACAACGATCTATCATCGTTGCACAAGCAACTATTCGAAAGTTAAGTAACAATAATAATAATGATATGTAGACTTTCAATCATTTATTTCAGATAAAAATAAAAATTCTAGAAATTCCTCGTAATTTCCAAATGACTTGTTTCTAATTTTACATGGCAACGACAATGAGATGCCACCTGCGTGTTCAAAAATCCCTGTTGAAAATGCCTACCTATGATTACCAATTCGCGGTCTCATAAATCCCTGCCATCGTTTCTCTATTTTTCATCCTCGCCATCGGCGACGAACGACTGATCGACCCGAAATACCTTCCGAAATCGCTCATCATCGTGAATTTATCTCGTTTCCTGTCCTTGTTGTGGCCGACTACATCTCCCGTCGCGTTACGTAAATCCCTGGGCGTTCTTTTTTTTTTTTTTTTTTTTTTTTTTCGAAAAAAGGTCCGTTTCACGCGTTCGACGGCGCACAAAAGACGGGAGACAAAGGGAGAAGCGAAATGTTTGCCTCGCCGACTCGGGAGTCGCACGGAGGACTCGGGGAGTGCCTCTCTTTGTCCTTCGTTGTTCTCGCGCCTAAATGAAGAAACGGGGGAGAGTGACTTGCACCGTCGAGGCATACATTGCATATAGCAAGCTGCTCATTTTAGTCGAATTAACAGCGGGAAAGGAGTCGTCGTTACGTGCGATTCGTGGAGAAAGAAGGAACGACAGAGTTCGTCGTCGAGAGAAAAATGAAAGAGGGGAACGATTGTTTCAAATTGCGAGTCGTTTCTCGTTAACTAACATTTTATGATTCTTCAGTGAGGGGAAGGAGGATGTTTCAATTCTTCGCAGTGAACGAAGGAAGAGAAGGAAAAGTCTTGTAGTTTAATTCGATTAAGGAAATTATTATCTCATCTTATATTACATTAATATTGATATAAAGATTAAAGAAATTAATATCGAAACACTCGAACAAACTACAAATGGAAATTTTTAACTCTTTCGATTGGGGAAAATGTAGATGTACAAACATTGTGTCTTGGTAAACTAAGTAAAAAATGATAAAAGATAAAATCGAACGTGTGCAATGAAATAAATCTTAAAGTACACAATCAGGAATGATGGAAATAATTTACATACTTTGTATCGAATATTGCATTTATCAGATTGGCTCGTATTTCCCCGCATTTTGAAAAGAATGCGTTTATACGCGTAGACCTCAAGAAATTATGCATGATGGCTAAAATTGTCAGATTTAAATAGAGGTAAAAGTATTCAGTGGAAGATCAGTGAAATTAGTGGAAAGCAATTTAAATTAATTTCTAAAATGGCAACTGCACCAAAAAGCTATGTATACCGAAAGAAGCTTCCAATTGTTAAATAACAAATTTCGTAATGAAATAGTTGCACATAGCCAGTTCTAGAATCCGTTCTCTAAATATGGCTTTCTCGTTGAATCACGTAACTCTTGATACGTGGAAGTGTGTAAATAATTTATAACCTGATCTATGGACTACGCTACTCGTAATGAATTGCATTGCGTATTAATATTTATTACACAGTGATGTATTTTTTACTTCATTTTTTGCACAGGTTTATCGATTGCTTAAGCATGATTCAAATCTTCGTATAATACCATGTTTATGTCAAATTAACTCTGTAGAAGTCGAATGTGATAATTACAAAGGAGGTAAAGTCCATTTATGTACTCTTTTTTAAGTAATATCAAGTGTTCTCCTGTTTTTTTATTGCTAGTACGCATAATTGTTACATGTATGCACATAAAATAAAATTTAATGAATTTTCATAATGATAAATCTTTGAATCCCTTCGCTTCGAAGACAGAGAAGTGTACAAAAACATGAATTTGCAGATGCCCATCGTACAATCATAAAATAGAAATGGTGCAAGCATTATATTGCTAAATCCAGATAATTAATTTGTCAAGTCACGAATAATCTTGACTTGAAAATGCAACAGTGACGAATATTCGATGGAAACAAAGGCAGCGTCGTGTTACAATCACATCAATATAAAGCACGTATTTCATTATCAGCTGAATAGTGAATACGTAGAATCTTTTCCTCGAATCGAGACCGATTCATAAGCAAATGTTGATTGTACAAAAGAGGAAAAGAAAGAGAGTACATGCAGTTCACTAAATTTTCACCAGGAGAATATCAGTCTTTTCCCTGTTACGTAAACAAAAAAAAAAAAAAAAAAGAAATGCACATAGTCCACTAAATCTTCGTTCGTAGAATGGTAAATAGAAAACGTCTCCACCTGTGTGCATTGTGCACACCTGAGCTATACGTATATGCAGAAGTTTCCGCATCGGCGAGCATGCAACGCGATTCCACGCTCTAGCTACGACCGGGAAGACGTAATTGCCCGAAAAGAAAAAGAGGAAGAAGGAGAGGGATACGCGGAGGAAAGGATGCGTCCTTCGGGTACCATTGCACGCGACGCGACTCGGCACGAAGAATCTTTCCTTCCCCCATTGAACATTGTGAAACGTTTCGAACGAACGAAGATTTTCACAAGTCAGCGTTCGACGTGGTGATATCATTGTTATGCAACGATCTTGTTTTATTGATTAAACTTTAATTGGCGTCGTTGGTCAACTTTTAATCAAGTGTGAATTTAATCAAATTTTATTTAATTTTATGTAGTTTGTAGTTTGTACGACGAATATCTGCTTAACGTGTGAAGGAATGCTTGTTGTTATAAAATGTAAAATTGTTAAATTGAAATTGAAATATATTTTGGAAACCAGTTTGCTAACTTGACTGGTTTGGCGAATCTCCTGTGGCCTGTGTTAATCTCTTATCTTTTTAATTCCATCTCCGAGGATTTCAGGGCCGACTCGTCGCGATAAATTTTCATCAGAGTGACGGTTAAAATGTAATCTTACCATGGTTGTATGTATGTAACAATTATGCTCATGAAGACGATAAAATCTCGGGGGAAAATAATATTATGCGCGGAGCGAAGAATACGGAACAAAAATACGTTACAGCCTACTAAACGAAGCATTGGATTGCGGATGTTTATGCATTTATATACAATTTAAAAGTGTGAAATTGCGCAGAAAGCACGTAGTGCAAGAATGCGCAATATAACCAATATACAGGGTGTCTCAGGAGGGGTGCAAGACAAGGAGTAACTCTGCGAGAAAAAAAAAAATAAAAAGGAGAAATAAAATTTGGAATTTCGTGAATTTAATTAATTATAGAAAAAAAAGTAATTAACAGGCTGTTATTCTACGTGCAAAGACAAGTAAAAAGTTTAGAATAAAATTTTTTTGCGAGATGCTTCATTTTCAATTCGAAATCAAATTTGAAAATTTATGAAACACTAAACTAGTTACTAGAATGATTACTAAAACATTTTCAAACGAAAACATATTCAAAGTCCATTTTCTTGAAAGTGACGCCTTAAACGAAAAGATTTTATTCGACACTTTTCATTTATTTCTGCAATACCCTGGTGTCGATCATTCGCGTCTAGTACGAAAATTAGCCAAATTCGAGTATATACTTGATAAATTTTCAAACGATTTTCTCGAGAACGAAGGCTGAAGGATGAAAATACTTTGTCCTTTCTTTTCGATTCGTTTTTTTCGCATAGGATCATTTTTTACTCGATATATTACTTAGATCAAACGAATTATTAAAATTTTCAGTTCATACGCCTAAAACTATAAATTCACATAAACATTCTGTTCGATATGCTATTCATAACTCTGTTTACATGAACTTATCGAGAGCAAATAGTTTATAAAAAGTGCTTTAAAGTTTAGTATATTCAAACTTTGCCAGTGTGCTGTACAGATAAAAATAAGATTAAAATGTCATGCAGCTCGTCAACGTTCGTGAATGCTTTGTTGAGAAGTTACATAACAAAAACATGAAACGTAAAGCTATAAAATGTGTTACTTCATCAATGCAAAATCCAATCGAAGTATCCAATTTACCGTGGATCGAATTTCATATCAACTTTGTCGAATTTCTTCACACGCAGTTTTCATTCTTGCAATTCAATTCATTTCGTGTAAATGGTAAATATTTCCTGTATGTTTGCTTCTGATGATGAATGATAACGAATGTTTTTCCATAAGTACAAGTGACCCGGAGGACCAAGAAATTGCTTCTTCTAGACTAATTCATCGTTGAAATTCCGTTCGTGTCGATCGAACTTCATATTTCTGGTTATAATCTTTTAACGAAGCATTTAGAGATCTTTTTATTAAAATGACGTTTCAATTTTATTTCTACCTGTAGCACAAGATTCGAACACTAAACTTCGGAACACCCTGTATATTCAATGTTTCATATGTACAATAGAAGTACACTGAAATCACTTTTCTGTTCATTTGATAGAAGTTCATGTTAAAATAATTCATTGACCGTTGACTGATTGCAAAATTAACGATCCAAATGAACAAAGTTCTTCGTTGCTACGTCGAAGCTACGTCCGGATATTACAATCTATTACATCCGGTTTAAATCACAGTAACATTGATACCAAAACGCTGTTATCTTCCCTCTTCTCTATCATTACGACCAGAGAAATACCGAGCCGAGTCTGTAGGATGAGCCAGCGAAAATTGCAGAAAAGGAACGAAACGGAAAAAAAATACAAGAAACGAAAAAGTCGTAAGATCGTTGAGAATTATCGAGAGTGAAACAATCCTGTTAACAGAGCGGAGAAAATCGCGACAGAGCCCGCAATGAAATAATTACTCACGTTGCTTTCGGCATCGGCGAGAATGGAGGGAGAACGATTATGAACGTTTTAAAGGAGAATGCACGCTTCGTTCATCGAATTTCCGCGAAGTTGGCAGAGTCCTCCAGTAGCAAACCGCCTTTGACCGACGCGGGTGAATCACGACTAAAACTATCGCGTTCTCTGTTCCATTTATCAGCAGGGATTATTCAGCCGACGTGAATAATTAGCAATTGACGAATCACGACTGACGCGCATGTACTCGTGAAAAACCGTCGTCCTACTTTCTAGTTTTCGTTTGCCATACTTAACAGTCCAACTTGAACATAAATTAGTCGTTTCTGTGAGAACGTATGTGCAATATAATGAATTATCGTTTCTGTGAAAATATATAACAAAAGAAGAACCGAAGAAAGGTGAAAATGGAAAAGGAAACGGAGAGAAACACGGAAGTGGAACGTCAGTGTTGTTGAAACAATTATTACTGTTTCATCCTGTTTGTTGTTGTTTTAATCGATCGCTCGTGATTTATTCATAATTCCGATTTATTCATAACCGTTTGACAATTAGTAGATGTCACTGACAGTTTGGTAAAAATCGAAGCTTTCATTTCACTTTTATCTTTGCAATTATTTTATCGCAAGTCAATCAACGTAAGGCACTAGAGAAAAACTGGCTACGATTTTGTAATAAGTATAACGAATAGACAGCCTGAATCAGATACTGAATCACACGAAACTTCGAAATATTTTATATTTTATCCAAAGGCACAGAAATCTTCAAGTGACAAGTGTTCAGATATTTTGGAATTCTTACGTCACGCGAATTTCAGCGACTTGAGTCAATACTATATACAGCAGGCATGTGTACGTAATATGTATTACAGGACTCACGTTCACCGACATGAAGGAGTTCCCCTCCTTTAAATTCGGCAACTTCACTTACGCAATCGAGTTGGACCCACCTAGCCCGGAGTTTCAGGAAATCGCGAGAAAGGAACTTCGTGAAACACCGGAACTTCAAAGGGAAGCGGTCGCCAGACTTAGGGAATTACTGAAAGGTAAAATTTGATCATCGACATTAATTTATTCTTCTGTTTCCATTTCCAATTCCATCTTGAACTTTCTAATTATTATTTCTCGCTCGGGTGCAATTATTTCTTTTTCAGTCTAAACTAAATTAAAAGGATTAAAATGCGACACAATTTCCGAAATTATGTTTAACATCTTCGATTTAAAGTCCAAGGTAGCAAAGACTTTGAAACTTGTATTGATTTTCGAATTTATAGTATATATCGTTATTAGATCGTGGATGTTTATAAAATGTTCACACAGTGTTTGTCTACGTAATTAAACTGAATAAAACGGGCAAATATACGATTATATATAGCGTTGCTTGCTTTGGATATTTTATATAATTTTCACAACACTCTTGTGCACAAACTTTCCGCACCACTAGGTTTCGCATAAATGCATGGAAATCCGCAGTATACTGATTACGATGCCAATGAAATTTCAAGAAGTTTTGTGTAACGCGTTATACGTATTCATAAAATTTCTCTATGGTAAAAGTTTGAATGCTTCCGTCAGCGAGTGTAGGTATATTCTCCGCGACGGAGAATCGTGAAGATTGTTCCTTCTGTTCATTCGCATTTTATATTGTTGATTGCAGTATTCCACAAGATGTGTAATAAATTCTTTTTCATTCTTAAGCAATCGTCCTAATCCTTCAATTTTACAAACAAACTGTACAAATAAAAAAATTGATCTTCAATCGTTCCATCCCAAATCTCTCAATCATAATCGAACTAATGAACAACTGAAAGGAAAAAGAAAAAAAAAAGAAAAAAAAAAGAAACAGTCGAGGGAAGAAACTTAAAAATCATGAATATTCCCTCACAGGCGAAACCAGCTTGAAGTGTCCGAATTTCGATGCCTGGCTGATTCGGTTCCTCAGGCCGTGCAAATACTATCCAGAGTCCGCGTTCAATCTCGTGAAGAATTACTACAGCTTCAAAGTGAAGCATTCCGAGATATATGACGACCTGAGGCCCAGTCGAGAGAAGAACATATTCGAGCAAAACATTCTGGTCGTGTTACCAGTCCGGGACCAATACGGACGAAGGATGATGGTGATCGAAATCGGGAAAAGGTGGAAGCACAACAAGTGCAGCCTGGACGAGATATTCAAAGGCTGCGTCTTTCTTCTGGAAGCGGCCATGTTGGAGCCAACCACGCAAATCGCCGGCGTCGTGGTTATCTTCGACATGGACGGGCTCACTCTTCAACAGGCATGGCAATTCACACCGGCGATCGCCAAGAGGATAATCGATTGGCTGCAGGACTCCGTGCCGATCAGAGTTAAGAACGTTCACATTATCAACCAGCCGTACGTGTTCAACATGGTGTACGCGTTGTTCAAGCCGATCTTGAGGGAGAAACTGAGGCGCAGGGTGAGTTGACGTTTCTTCGACTGCTGCAACCTTCTCTCGAACGTTACAGCGAATCGAGCTGTCGTTTAATTTGGAAATTTCTGCAACTATGAAATTAAAAAAAAAAAAGTTAATCAGAAGACAAATCAATCTTGGATTTCAATTCGACGAGATGTCAACGACGACTAATCAATAATTTTAAATTTTAATTCTTTAAAGTGTAAATGTAACTCTTTTTTTTTTTTTAGACTCCTAAAGTATGTATCTATACATATATTATCATTATTATTATTATTGTAATATTATATATACTATTATGTAATATTTTAATAATATAATATTATAATTATAATTTATATGGTATTTTCGTGAAAAATCAATAATTTTTTTTTGTAAAAAGATATTAATATATGTATATAATAATTATCATTATATATTATAATTATAAATAATTATATATAATTTCTATAGTATCTTCATAAAATTAAACATTGATGAAGGAGATAGATTGATTCTGATTCTTCAAGCTACAAGTATAATTATTTTAGGATCTGCGAATGAAAATATTAATTGGATATCCCAGGAAATTCTTAAATAAGTCGTATTAAATATTACAAACGAGGAACGTGACGATTTACGCACGATTTCATTGTTTTCAGCTCATCTTCCACGGAACCGATCGGAAATCGTTGCACCAGTACATCTCGCCAAAGTGTTTACCCATTGCTTATGGTGGGGACATTGATATTCCACGTGTCGAGGGAAAACAATGGTTGGAATGGTTACTAATATGCGATGACGAATTCGCCGGTACGTGAAAATAGATTAAAACGTGACAATTGTCATCACGATCGATGTGTCATTTCGATCACTCGAAAGATAATGTTTCATCGCGTACCTTTCTATAGTCAGAGAATTTAAAAGTGATTGACAGTGTCATCGTTACATTTAATTTACGTAAAAAGGGAAGTACGCATACGAGGAAATCTACAACTTATCTATCTTCTTCTATTTTCTTTTTTTTTCCAGCAATCAACTCGTATGGCTATAAGAAATAATTCATGCGCTTTCAAGTGTCCGATCGCGAGGACAAAAGAATAAAAATTGCTCGGTCGAAAAATCGATAATTTGAACGATTTTTGAGCAACGACGACGGCTGTGAATTCTTCCAACAAGGTGCTGGCATCCAGATTCGACATACGGCCTATCTGTTTATTTATAGACAATTATAATGTTAGCCTCTAGTTAACTAGCGTATTTTTGTAAAATACGAGTGGAAAGTAATAGACAAGTTGTTTCAGTACGTTAGTTAGTTGCGTAGTCTTCGATTTATCATTCACTACTATGAAGATTAGAATAATTTTACATGATGTTACAGCAATATTTATTTTTTTATGTCCTTTTGATATTTGATATCTCAATATTTTAATAGGATGTTGTAAACTTGTTGCAAACGGAACGTGGCTTAACTGGTTTAACTGCGAGTGTCCTCTGAGACTTCAGAAGAATTTACCAGCTGATATGTTCCGTATAAATTTAGTTGTTAATTAATTTATTGTTAAACATCGGGGGAATCTATCGGAAGGGAATATGCTTATAAAATACTTAATGTACGTTAAAAAAAAAAAAGAAAAAAGAGAAAGAGAACGGAAAAGCAATTACGAACGCTAATTGCTAATAAACTTTTGGCCACTAAATTTTCCTCTTGACTGAAATCTTTTTATTTCATACAAACGTACACGTAATCAAATAAAGACGAATACCACCGGCGTTTATGATTGTCTTCTAACAATTGTAGAATTAAATTCAGTATTTTTATTGAACGATAAGTAACCATGTTTGTACGTTGCCCTCGATTTGTTGCGCTCGAAGTCATTTAAAAAAACTTATTCATCTCCTATGAAAAGAAAAAAAAAGAGAGAGAAAGTAATTACAAGTTAGCTCTGTTATCATTTCAATACGCTCGTATTTTAGATTTGAAAATAAATGTTATCCGCCGCGAAATCGTCGATCCATTTCGCCTTGTACTTCAACCGGGATTTCTTCGAATTCTTATCAGCCACGTTATTCCCCGTTTTTTTTTTTTTTTCTGTTTTTCGGTATTTCGGTTCCGACGTAAACGATCACTTTACTTTGAAAATCTCGGTTACCTCGGTTCCAAGTTGAACGACCATAAGCACCGTATCCCTCGTCACTCCGTGGTCTTGACGTATCCGTATTTTGTGGCAACTGTAACGAGAGAAATTTGAAATTTTACACGAGTTTATCAGAAAAGAGAACCTGTTTGGTAGAGAATTTAATCTGAGCCAGAGAAAAAAAGAACGCGATAAGCAGTCGAGGAATATCATTAGCCTAATTCTACTCGCAATATTTGTTACTGTTAAGGATAGTATTAACATAAGCTTGCCATTAACACGAATCCGCAAGCTTGGATAAACCGTTTCTTTCGCTCGTTTCTTGTTATCGGGCCGCGATGGAAACTGGTTTATCAAACCGTGTAACAAACCACTTCATTCTGCCTCTATAGAGAAGAGGAACTTCTATCTCAACTGAAGTTGAAAGTTACTTCCGTATGAAATTGAAAATTTGATAAGTTGATGAAACGATTAATAAAAGAAATTATTACTTTCGTTTAAGTGAAAGATATCTTTCTTCCTTGGCAATGTTTTTAAACTACGTGTTAAAATAATCTTACAAGTTTTAATCTTGAAAGAATCTGAAAAATTGCAGTATCAATATTATTAGAAGATTAGTACACTATCAGTACACTAATCAGTACAACTTGCAAAATTAAAACCTTTGTACTCTCTCTCTAATTTAATTTTTTTTTTTTTATTTTTCTTCTTCTAGCGTCACGTTCACACTGCTGTTGGCGAACAGCTCGCGAGTTTCACATTGCTTTTTACTGCTTCAGCTCAAAGAATCTTTTCGCCAAGCGAACAAGCTCAAATTTTTGAATCTAAATAATCACGTGGACGTAATTTCTGGATCTGTTAGCGAGTAGCTCACGCAAATTGCTACCGGCCAATGGAATACAATTCCACTTCGATCGAAAGAATAGAATCTTTTGAAATTAATTAATATTCGTTTGAATTAGCAACAATTTCATTAATTGAATGTCAAGTCTCAGTTTGAAGAAACATATCATTCGAGGATTGTCGCGAAAAGACTCGTCAAAAGCTGATAGACGATAGGATCGAAGATTAAGAACAATCTCAGTCACGATTTCGTTACACGTCCGTGAGAATTGAACGAATTCTTTTTCAAGACAATAATTAATCCTTTTGCGTAATACACGAAGTTACGTGGCCCGGCAATTAGCAGACGGAAAATTATACGACGTGCAATTACGTAACGAAAGATCGTGCCCGTGTAATAATAAGCAGGTCGTAATACACGTCGGTGCGTAATTACGCAAACCACGAATATCCGTATATCAAAGGTTGAAATTCGTCGAAGCAGTCCCCTGTACTACTTTTTTTCTTTCTTTGCTCGACATAATCGAATACGACAGAGTGTCGTAAGAATATTCGATGCCTCATAAAATCAAGTTTCACACGCCTGTCTACGCAACGGCCAATTTGGTATAGTTTTTAACAGAAAATTTCCAATTTTCTTTATTGTATCTTGATATATCTTTAAACGTCATTCCTTTTGCGTTGTATGGATTAGTATTGTATACACTAATGTATGAAATTAATTTTAATAAATGACTTGTGGGAATTGACCGTGCTTCGTGCTTCGTGTCGCACGTGCGTACAATTTTCTTTCTATTAGTTTAACAACGACAAAAAAAAAAAAAGAAAAGAATAAGGACAATTAGATGAGAAAGATTTTATTTATCTGATTAAATTCAAATCTTTCCAGTTCAACACAATTATCTTTTCCAAAGCTCTTGTTGAGTTAATAGCTAAGAAAAGGTTCGTAGAAATTTAGTCTTTTATTATAAATTTAAAATTTATGTCTTTTCTTAATTTAATCGTTTATCTTTAATTCGCGTGCTATTTTTGCCTATTATTCAGTGCAATTATTATTCCCTACTGATATCGGGATATGATAACAAAAAATCGAAAAGTAAGAGGAAGTGGAGTTACCTTCGAAATCCTTCTCGAACCAACAGAAATAGTCGCAAATGCCTTGACCAATCGGTTCCTTCGGCATCTCGAACTTGCCACCGAACTCCGTGGGCAAAACATTTGCATCAATGAAAGACAGCAAAGAGTCCCGGTTCGTGCCGTGGAAATGAAGCCTTTTACGTGTTTTCTCCTGCGAATGAGGTTTGAATTGTTAATCAGTTGAATTTAAATTTCCGATCGAAAGTTTGAATCTAAATTCCGAATTGTCAATTAAAAGTGAAGTTGAATTGTCAATTAAAGAATAGACGGGGAGACGAGATTGCAAGAAAACAAATTCATTAGCATTATTATATCGTAACTCGTGTCTAATGTCCCATTGTATTCAAAGCTGCAGGTCAAATTATTTCAGAATCAAATGTAATTTTTCGTCCAGCTTCCGCTTCATTTAACATATATTTACATCTAGATTCTTATATTCTTCGACATGTTCTACACAATATTCTATTGAGGATCATCTTGAACCGCTCAATTGTCAAATTGATGAACTCCACGTAGTAAAAGTTAGAAAGTAAAAGTTAGAAAAAGTTAGAAAAGTAAAGTTAGAAAAGTTAGAAAAAGTAAAAGTTAGAAAGATCGATAAAATAGTATAGAGTTGCTGCTTAAAATTTAAACTGAAGTGAATGAGTTGTGTTCTTACATTTAGCAACATACAAAATAACATGTTCTTCGGGATAATTGCATTGAAATAAATTATTTATTATTCTACGTCATTTAGTGATGATTAAGTCTAGTTATTAAGAAAATTTATTTGACCCGTTCAAGTGCCTGAAATTACGATAAAGTCTAGAAATACTAAACGGGGAGAATATAATATATACTAAGAATGCAGTTTATCTTTTGCCATATAAATTTTGACACATCTATTGTAACGTCGTGATTTAAATTGTACATGTATTGAATATATTGTAATTTGAATCTCTCCGGATCTCTAGGTCTAAGTAAATCAATTATTGATTATAAAATTATCTGTACAATATTGTAATACGAACGATGCAAAAGATTAAGAACAAATCAACTGCTTTGACACTAAAATTTGAAAAGATTGAAAACATAGAATCACTTTGGCCAGTGAACGACTCGAATCTCACTAAAATACTATACGTCAGCAGTAGATTATTATACAGAAATATGTGATATTTATTACATGTTAAAATTATATTTGACACGAAGATAATTCTTTCTTTTTTGAAAAAAAAAAAAAAAATAAAGAACTATCGTATTTGAATTTTGCAGGATTAATAAAAGTCATTGATATCATGTACCAAAAGGAAAGGTCTGAAGATGGCGTAGACCATGTTGAATATGAAGGGTTGATTCACTATATGAATGCCCTTCAGTCGACAGGGTAAACATCTCTGTATCCAATCCGTCACCGAGGCGGCGAAACTCGGCGTGATGTGTGCAACGTGGGTCAGTGTCAAGCCAGACACATTTATAATTACGTGAATTCCGGCGATCTGCAGAGAACATGTAAAAAGCATGACGATAAAGTTAGAAATTTATAAAATAAATAATGGTGAACGTAAATCGAGAGAGACAGGATCCAGAATTGTGTACATATAGGAAAAGTATGGGGAGTAAATTTTCTTAGACTGCAGTTTAAGGCAAAAGAGAAAATTGCAATTGAATGAAATGTAAAAAGAAAAATAGAAGGAAATAGAAGAATAATATGTTATAAAAAGAAAACTATTGTAAAAGATTAAAATGAGAGGTAGAATGTGAAGGATAGAATATAGAAAGATAGATAATAAATCAAAGAAGATTTTCTCAGACTGCGGCTTATGGTAAAAGAAAAACTTTGAATGAAACGTAATAAGAAGAAACAGAGCATAACGTAGAAAAATAGAACTAAATATAGAAAAAAATTGAAAAATAATATATTATAAAAGAAGAGAATATGTGCATCGTAAAACAATCGTTAAAAGTAAAAAATATAGAAGAATTAGAATATAAAGAAAATGGAGAAAAAGAACAAAATATAAAGAAGCATTTGCAAAGCAAAGTTTTGAAACGAAATCGTAAGATATTCGCCAAATCATGGATATATCGGGTGCGTAATATATATGAATATGAAACATGCGGAAGATCAGTATCGTACAATGTCATCGTGACTTGACTAGAATGCGATAATGAGATATAAACATTTTCCAAAGAGCTATTGGTGCCAACGAAGCATGCTTTCCTAACAATACCAAATACGCGAACCAGAAGAATGGCGCCACACGATTTATTACACAATCGCTTTGCGATGCTAGTCTTCTTTTCTAAATTCAACAAATACTTTCAGAAAGCTTTTTCATTTGCCACATATACTTTCGTCAAAAGCTTCTTTCACTTTCACCACGCGTATTTCTCATGTATTCGTGGCGAAAAGTTCAAAATTTTGGAAGAACGAAATTGAAAGGTGAAATTACAATCAGGTACGCGTGTTACAAAAATGATTGAAATTATTAAAAATCATCTGAAAGAACTGAAATTAATTGAAAAAAAAACTCT